TTTATCCCGGCGAATCGAGAGGACAACGCTTTCAGGCCCGTAAAGAGAGGATCGTCTCCCAAAAAACCCACCTATCAGATACATATGAGTGCATCCAATACCCTCCAACCATGAAACAGACCTTCCAGCTTCGTGACAGTTGATATCAGTCCTCAGGTAGTGGTTGCCGGGTATGATGGCCGTCTGGCCCCTCCTGACCGGACATCTATGGGCCCCACAGGCCATATTCAAGTATAGACCGAAATAACCTCATCTTGATTACTTGCTCTAGGATACATCAAGTAATTGTACAATGACCCATTTCTATAAATTGCGTGATGGGTTGTGGGTTGCTAGGGGGTTGGCAAAAATTAACTAAACTGTCTGAACTACAACACAAGTATTAATTTTTATTATTTATATAGTGAAAATGAAAATTTGAGGACAGACATGTGCGAAAAATATTTTTATATAGAATCAAAATACATTTATCAATATAAAAAAGCAAGCATTAAATTTTTTTTATGAATATAAATATAATTTAGTTTGAGCTAATACGACTTTAATTAAGTTTTGTTGATATAAGTCATACTCAAATGCATGAGACACTCAAAAGAGTGTATATTAACTCAATGGAAGCTTGCCTTATTACATCCCTTAACATCCAAAATATGTATTTTTGCATTAATTCACCCAATTCCTATGTATTTAATACCCCCCAAATATTTCATGAAACATAAGAAATATATGAAGATCACTATTTTAAAATTTAAAAAGATAAATGCACTTCCTCATACATAATTAAGGCGACATGTATGAAAATATTGAATTTTAGGGTTTAGATACTACATAAGAACTGAGTGGCATGTATGTACAACTTCTTTCTTATATTTATATATTTATTTATATTTTAGGTATAGTGATTGCTCACACACACACACATTAGAAAAAAAAAAAGAGGAGGAAAATGAGTAAAAAATAAATTTTGATTATTATTTGTAATAATATTATACAATCAATTAAAACATAATTCATTAAGTTTAATCAAAGTATATTATATCTAATCATACAATCATGTTAGTTTAAAAAATGAAAAATGAGAATTTTTTTTTTATGAGATAAGGTATATGTTAATTAATAAAAATTGATATTAAGTTCAAATTGTACACTCCGCGTTGTAATGTAATTATTTGCATAAAATAAGATAATTCAAAATTTAAACTTATTGCACTATATGATGAAAATCATAATCATCCCCATTTAATTACAATTAGCATTAATAAACTAATTAAAAATTAAATAGTTTATACCTAATTATATTGCGTTTAATTACAATTAGCATTAATAAACTGATTAAAAATTAAATAGTTTATACCTAATTATATTGCAAATTTGCTCTCGTGTTTTTACTACTTCATCTATGATGATGTTCTTGTGTGATGAGCAACATGCCTATATGAATTTAATTAATATTTGATTAAATAACTTTAGTAACTTTATAAATTGGCTTTTAATTCTTGAAACTTTTGTTGAAAAAATATTTTAAAAGTCAAAAGAAGGCATTCTCTTAGTGTTCTTTCTTGATCAATAAAATATTTTGCTTACTTGTTATTTTTTTTTAAATTTCAAAAATAATATTTTTATGATTGTTCCAAATTATTTTCCAAAAATCACATAACAATTACACCCTTGTTTGGGTGTGTCATTCAAGGCCTCCATGAAATTTCAATTATTATTTCTTGAAGTTTATACATATTTTCACCTCAACAAATATGGGAGTGCAGCTCAGTCTTTGTTCTTTTATTATCATTTAATATAATTTTTGTACGCTATAAATTTCTAAAATTTGTATTTAATCTCTGTTAAACTTCATCTCCATTCTTCATTTCCTTGTTTTACTCTCAGTGCTCTCAAAAAATCTTATAAATACTCTACTTCATCATGCTTATAATCTCTTAATTTCATAAGGGAACTTTGCCCATGCTTAATTTGAGAGTGGGCATAGGTTAGCATATTAAATTTTTAAAAAATCATGCCAACTTTTTTTATTTTTTATTTCCTATTACTTTATTGGTTAACTATAATGTAACACTTTTTTATCTCTCTATTAGAAATATTAAATATCATCTTTCTACTTAGTTGACTCAAGTAAGGAAATTTCTATTATTTATATTTCTTGGTAGCATGCATTGGGAAGATTAGAGAAAGAAAGATAGGAGAATTTGGCAGAGTGGAAGAAATGATAAAATTAGACATGTATTAATACATAACAAATGACAAATTTTTATTGATATGTATTTTTTTCATAGAAACAATTATTTTTAATGGATTAAATGCCATTTTGATAGAATCCTTTACCAAAATGATATTTTTTCTATTATGATAAGTTAAAATATGATCTGGTATTTTATGAAGATAAGCAAAAAAAAAAAAGAGAAATCTAATAGGAAAGTAATATAAAATTTAATATAATGCTAAGAAAATGAAAAAATATGACTAAGATATTATTTTGAATGGGTTAAACTATCCATAGATTTAAAGGTATGCATTAGTCCATTTAAATAAAAAAATATAGTTGAATCTAGCATATTTGATTGTTTTTTGGTTTTCAATTAAAAGTATTTAAAGTATAATTATAAGACTAATTTCAAAAATTATTAAATAACAAAATTATATTGTGATTAAATAAAATGCATCAATCAATTGGTTTAATAAACTCACTAACCAATCCACCCTTGTTAATCAATTACACACCCCTTTATTAGAATTTCAAAATTCAGATAAATTCAAATTGAATCAAATAAACTAAATTAACTTTTGGTTTAGTTTGCCTCGATTTAACATTTTATTTGGTTGATTTGATTTTATCTAATATTTATTTTAAATTAATTGGTTTAGCAGAACTATTAATGAATCAGATATAATTGATCAAACACACATCCCCAGGTACATCACCAAGAGTTCTTTTAATCAAGCATGAATTTTAATGCTATTTCAGCTAAAATTTCCTAAAAATTAAATTTAAGGTCCTTTGAACTCAAAATTCTCCAATTTTTAATTAAACTAAATAGTTTGATAAGATGATCCCAACCTTAATAATAGTGCTCTTTAATCACGGCCTAATTAAGCCAACCTTAAGTATTTTAAGCATACCTATTTATGATATTATTCAAGAGCAAATGATATCCATATTCTATGAGTTTATAATTAAAACAAGTATTATTATTATTGATAAATTTAAAGGTATTAAAAGAATGATTAATGCTTAAGAAAAATAATATGGTTCAACTAAAGAAGTACTTAAGAATATTGACTTAATTTATAAAAAAAAAACTCTTAAAAATAATAATTAGGCCTCCATCAATCTTCCAATGATTTTCAAAATAAGTGAAGCTAAATTTAATCTTTCCAAGTTCTTTTTTTCAAACCCTAATTTTTCATTGCTAGTGTACACCCCTCGATGGATGCCATCTGCCAGTCACCTGCAACCAGGGTTTATATTAATTTCAATTAAAACCCTTGCATTTTTTTTATTATAACTTAAAGTTGTAAGGCCACGTATTTTGTAAATAAATGCTGCAAAATTAGCCCAAAATATAATAAATATGAGAAAGTGGCATCCTTCTCAGCAAAGTAATCTCTTATCTCAAATTATTTCCTTCAAACTTTTTTGAACTAAAGAAATGGCATGTTAAGACATTGTTACTAAAATGTCATCTTCTACCATTTATATGCCTAAAATTATTTTTTTCATTAACTTAGTCCTCACAACGACAAATTTTTTGAAAAACTTTGCTTCACATACTTTAAAATTTCATTTTTATTTATATAACATTTTATAAGAAAATGTGGAGATTATATTATTTTGTATTAATATATTAAATTTCATAAAAAAATGTATTTATTTATTTTTAATGTGATTTCCAACAGCTGTCTTCAAGCTACATTATGCTTATGGTTTATTAAAATAGATATAATATGCTAAAGTTAATAAATAAAATTCTTTTTTCAAAAAAAAAAAAAGAAGAAAATCTCCATATTTATCCATGCAGCAATCACAACATAGCTGTAATGCATTTTCATCTTTGGTTGTTATTTGTCAATGCATCAGACCTTCTTTTATAATTGTTTGGTTCCAACAATTATATAAAATTTCGAAACAGAGAAAATAATAAGCCAAATTAATTTAAAAATCAATTAATAATTACTTTTTACCCCACTAAAAATAGAAATTAAATTATACAAAAAATTCTGTTAACCCCATTGACATACATACCACCCATTTCCTATGTATTTAACTTATCAACCATCTAAACTTTACTTTTTATAGAGTTTGCATCCGTGTTATACTCATGTAACCTTCTAATAACCCAAATGTACCCAGCCCTACCTACTTGTTACGTACATAAATTTTTCTCGAGAGTTCAGAAAATAAATATACAAATAATAGGGTAAGAAAATGAATATATAAAATAAATGCTAAGCTGTTGAAGAAGAAAAGTATTGAATAAAAAATGAGAAACATGGAATTTGGATAGAAATATCTGTAAGAAAAATTATTTAATAGGCACATAATTTTCCAGAGCAACAAATGGAGTGGATGGTTTCATAAAATGGTTAACATAAGCCTAGCAATGATATTTAATAGGACAAATAAACCACTCATAAACTGTACTTATTCTGCATTCTTACCCCCAACCGATTTCCTTATCTTTCTGTTAAAATATAAATATAAAAAATTAATTGACTTAATCTAAAAATTAAGCCGGATTACGTTAACGGTCTAATAATGTGTCCGTTATCCAAAATACCGTTTCTAAGCTGCACAGAATTAAGGAGTCCAGCTCTGGCCGGCCTTGCATAAAAGGCTGAGGTGTACATAACTCGAGTCAGAGTAACCCATTGTTTATACTGTTAACCAAGGTTAAATTTTTTTTACCAAACTAACTAACTTGGTTAATATTCAAACCCTATATAACCGCCTGCGCAGTCTCAATGCTCTTCACTGTCTTCCTCGTCTCGGTTCTCTAGACTGTTCCAACTTCCTTTTTCTGCGGAAAGCCGCTAAAAATCCAATCTTTGTTTTCCGGCGATGTCTACTGCGGTCGACTCCTTTCCTTCTCTTCTCATCCTCTTATTGCCCCGGATCACCTCTGCCGCGGCGTTTGTTCCCTTCGTGTTATTTATTCTCGCAACAGCTGCCCTCATCTCCCCCGGCGGCATCGCATGGACGTTTACTCGAAAGAGGAACCCTATTCCTGGGCCCGGAGGACTCGCCGCCGGAATAGCTCTAGCAGGAGCTGCGGCTCACCGCGCGCTTGCGGATTTATCCCGTCGGTTTTCATCGATACACCTCATGGCTTTTTCCGTTGGTTTCACCCGTTTCATAGTTTCAAGCCATCCGGATACCGCTCGAGAAATCCTAAATTCATCAGCTTTTGCTGACAGGCCGATTAAGGAATCCGCGCGCGAGCTTCTATTTCATCGCGCTATGGGCTTTGCCCCTTTTGGCGAGTATTGGAGAAATTTGAGGAGGATTTCTTCTACTTATTTGTTTTGTCCTAAGCGCATCGCAGCTTTCAGTGAGCGACGGAGGGAGATTGGGGGGGAAATGGTGGAGGATGTGAGGAGTTTGATGGGGAAGCATGGGGAGGTTGAGGTGAAGAGAGTATTGCATTTTGGAGCTCTGAATAATGTCATGGTGAGCGTTTTTGGAAAACGTTTTGATTTTGGGAAAGGGGAAGGGTTGGAGCTGGAAGAGATGGTTAGGGAGGGTTATGAGCTGCTTGGGGGTGTGAATTGGAGCGATCATTTGCCCTTTTTGGGATGGATGGACTTGCAGGGAGTTAGGAGGAGGAGCAGAGCTTTGGTGCAAAAAGTTAATGTTTTTGTGGGGAGGATTATTGAAGAACATAGAATGAGAAAGGTTGGGGGAGTTGAGGAAGGTAAGAGTGGGCTTGGAGACTTTGTGGACGTGCTGCTTGATTTGGAGAAAGAGGACAAGCTCTCTGACACTGACATGGTTGCTGTTCTTTGGGTATGATTTCTCTGTTTTTCTCACTATTGATTTTGTGTTTTGTTTCTTCTTTTGAATAAAGTCATTAATTATATGCTTATACTTCATACGTTAATTTGATTTATACGCCTATAGTATATTGATGTTGATGAAGAATGATAAATTTTTATTAATTTTTCTCAACTTATTTGTTTAAATAATAAAGAGGATGTATGCAGCTGTACAACCGAATGATTATTCAACGGTTCATTTAATGTGTATTTTTGTTGCGTTGACCTGATCTTAATTTCTATTTAATCTTTTTCTTCTGCAACTCTGGGTTGACTTAACTCTCTATATTGCATTTGCTGTACCTTGGATTTTTTCAATGCACAAATCAGATATTTTTAAGCCATTTCTTTGTACTTATGCTCATAAAGCCATTATGTTTTCTTTTTTATTTAAAAAAAAATCATAGGTCTCCTTCAATTCCAACCTCCTTGATATTCAGAATGTAAAAAAAATTATAAACCAGCTCTTAGTTTTTTTCCCTGCAAAGAAAAAAATCATATTTTTCTACAAAGGTCAACCATGCTTACCTGGCATGCTGGATTTAGATAGCTACACTTATGTTTTTTTCTTTTTAGCTTGTTCTTCAAATTACCAACTTATTGTATATATCCTTCACTTCAGGAGATGATATTTAGAGGAACTGATACAGTAGCAATCCTTCTGGAGTGGATTCTGGCAAGAATGGTTCTTCATCCTGAAATCCAATCCAAAGCTCAAGCAGAAATAGAAGCTGTTGTAGGGAACTCAAGACCTGTTACAGATTCAGACATCCCAAACCTCATTTACCTTCAATCAATAGTGAAAGAATGCCTTAGAATGCACCCACCTGGTCCTCTCCTCTCATGGGCTCGTCTTGCAATCCATGACACCAATGTTGGAAACCACTTTATTCCTGCCGGAACAACGGCAATGGTGAACATGTGGGCAATAACACATGATGAATCATTCTGGGCTGATCCCTGTGAGTTCAAGCCTGAGAGGTTCATGGAAGAAGATGTGAGCATTATGGGTTCGGACCTTAGATTGGCTCCTTTCGGTTCCGGGAGGAGGGTTTGTCCTGGCAAGGCTATGGGCTTGGCTACAGTTCATCTCTGGCTCGCTCAGCTTCTTCAGAGCTTCAAGTGGTCGCCATCAATGGAGGGGGTGGACTTGTCTGAGTGTTTGAAGATGTCGCTGGAGATGGAGCATCCTTTGGTTTGCTGTGCTGTTCCAAGAGAATGAAGCTGGTTTATGATAGGAAGATGAAAGAGTGTTTTATATATTTATATATATGAAATGAATTATTTTGACTGATGATGTGTAGGGGGTTGTGTTTTTAACTCTTTATATCTTGATCTTGTTTGTTGGAAGTTTTTTGTTTGTAGCTTTTTAGGTCTATCATTGGCGTATAATGTTAGTAGTGAACAATGTTTGTTTCATGGGACATCAAGAAGTTGGTGATTACAACTCATAGCCTTAATCTTTCTCAACATTGCTCTAATGTTTTGAGTTTTGCAATTAGTTGTTTTTTCATGCCTTTGACAAGTATGAATCTTTCTCAAAATATCCTCTCTTCATTGCACATAATCAAAGTTTCGTGTATGATTATCTCATTTTAATAGTTTTCATGCTTTTGCTAAAGTGAAAGTGTTTCTTGATCTCTATAAACTATAAAATTAATAGCACATCTTTGAATGATCTTTGTGTTAATGAAAAAAATCTTATTTTTCAAAATCTTTTCCAAATGGTTTATATTATATGAAAGAAGATTGAATTGATTTTATTATAACTTGTTTGTTATTGCTATTTTGATTACTGGGGAGTATCTTCTAAATATTGTTGTGTACAGCAACATCAACTAATTTCTAAAATATCTATTATCCAAACTAGATTATATGATGGTTTGGTGAGGTCGCTCATCCACCTGAGCATCTCATATCAGCAACACATTTGGTTTTATTTTATGTTTCTCTTTTAAATGCCAACATTCTGCTAAAGAGCATTGTAGGTCTTAGCATTTTATAAAGTATTTTATAAAGTTTCCTTCAGTCTAAGCATTACTTTTCTATCCCACAATAGGCTTGATGCATTCCTCCACTTAACCACCAGCCCAATTTGAGTTCACCATTGTTTTGAACATAGACTTAAGATATCTAAAATTTAATGATTTGATCACCCATAGCTACAATTTTGATATTAGAGCTACTACTAAAATTATATTTCATGTATTCAATCTCCCAATGCTAATTGCTCTGATCATTATTTTCTATTTCTCTCATATGTTTAGAAAATCCATAACACATCTCTTAACAATGTTGTCTCCATCTCTAATTGTTATGAGGAAGACCCATAACATATCTCTTAACAATTTTGTCTCCATCTCTAATTGTTATGAAGGAAGACTGAAGTCACTCTGATAGGTGTGTTGGTGAAAGTTGTTTTTCCCTCATCTATGGCCCATGATCGAGCACACAGACCCCTAACTCAATTACCATTAGCTCTCACTAACCCACCCATCTTTAAAAGCACAACATCAGTCAGATCAAATAATCTACATCACCTCAACTTTCTCATCATAGTTGTTAGACATCATGAACATGCTCTAATGGAGAGCCCTAATTTATATTTTCCAAACATCTATGAATAAAAAGCAAGACACATATCAAATTTTTATGATTTCTTCCTCTAAATCATGCCTTCTCCTATGTTGTCGTTCATATTTGTAGAAAATCTTTTATTATTATTATTTTAATAATTAATATAAATCAGTTTCACTTTGTACTAAGTTAACAACTCATTATTATGTATATATAGTTTCTTACTAATCATTACAACTGTGGAAAAGGCCCTTTGGATTGCATTAGCTGTTTATTCTTAGCTATTAAAATGTCACCACTAGGCAAATATTTGTCTTTCTCAATTCTGTTGCAATGGAATGGTGATGGCTATTTTAATTTATCGTATTAGCTTTCAATTACTATATTATTAATCATCTAATTGAAAAAAATAAATTAAAATATTAGATCGATGATACCAATACCAACAAAAGAATGAAAAATAAGATAAAATGAAGAAAAAGATCAGAATATTCTGATCAAGATCTGCTTAATTTGTTGAAGTCTTCGTGTTATCTATCTAATATAACAATTGATCTAATTTATATCCAACTTGTCATGCATTACTATTTTGACCTTGTGGAAATAAATTAAGATGGCAACCTGATCCAAATTAGTATCAAAATACTTATTTATTTATTTTTAAAAACTAGATATGATTTATTCAAGAGTTTCAAAATTTATGAGCTAAATTAATTGGCACATGTACTAAAAACCTGTCTTTATGGGTCAAAGTTATTACAATAAATATCGTGGATCTAACTCAACACAACTAATCAAAAGACACGACTTTCGTTGGAAGTGACTTGCTAAACTCATTCCCCAAAATATCAACAGTCTTGTACTAGCTACCAAGTTGACATGACCTCGTTGAACTGGCTTGACCATTCCACCTGACGAAATCCGCCAATTACACATATTAATCCAGTTATTCTTCTTGGTGATCCTCATAGCTATAAAAATTTAAAAAAAAAAATAAAAAAAAATCAAAATTTAGACGAATGATTGTCATATATCACATCTTTATTTATGAGCCCATTGACACATATGTTGGTAATTTTATCAAGTCATTATGGACTTATTTGAATTAAAAAAAAAAAATCAAAATTTAGACAAATGATTGTCATATATCACATCTTTATTTACGAGCCCATTGACACATATGCTGGTAATTTTATCAAGTCATTATGGACTTATTTGAAGAGAGGGACTCTCTCCTAATCATTTATAGGGACCTTGCCATGAATAAGCATAACGTATAGTTTTAGGCCTTTCAAATCGTGTCAACTCGTGAATATTATAATATCACATGCTCTAAAAATAATTCAGTAATATTGTGTGTCATGAGGGTAATGTTTAGTCGCTGCGTCAAACACTTTTACGCGCATAAATGATTGACTGATTGCTCTCAATCATATCTGTTTGTTGATGCAACGTACACTGAGAATTTGAGATCTTACACTTTATTCTTAAAGTGCCTGTTTCTCCCTTAATGTTCATTAATGCATACTTTAAAGATTCCACCATATCAGCTAAGATTGTGTTCTGTCAAAATTAAATTAAATAAATAAAATGATCAAGGACGTGGCACAAAATAAAAAGTTTTCAAGAGAAATTTATATACATACCACATAATTCTTATGTATTTATGTAAATAACATCCAAAATTGATATTTATATTTAAAAAAAAAAAAAAGATAACATCCCAAACCAACGGATGACCCAAACCAACGGCTGAAAGAACACCGACCGAATAAAGTAACCTACCTTCTGACAGATCCAACATGAGGAAAGACCCAGTTTCTCAATATCACCAACCATCTTATGAACACCCTGAGACAACTCACTAGGGATCGAGGGTTGATAGCCAGACTAATGCAACTGATTTTCAGAGTCTAAACATGCCGATCTGAAACTAATCAAGCTCGGACGACCAATAATGCTGACTCAGTCTAGTCAACTGAACTAGTCTTACCAAGCCAGACCAATCTTAGTCGACTGAGCCAGAGAGCAATCAAGTGATAGACTCCTATATGTAAAATACCAATAATATCATGTATAGCTCAAACTAAAGTAGAAACATAAATGTAATATCACTATATTTTATCATCTATCCTATAAATAGGAAGATCAGTTTATGATAATAGAGGGGACAAACACGACGTCTTAGTGTTCAATATTGTTCATGCTTATTTCCGTCTCCCTCTCTCTCATTTCTTATGCTTTGTTTCTTTCGGTGTGATTCACACACAACATGTAGTCATCTAAACATGAATATTTTGATTTTAGACATCTAAGCACATAAGAATTGTGTGATATGCTTGTAAATGCTCCTTTAAAAAATTATGAGGATGTTTTCTACAACCTTTTAATTAATTTTAAAAACAAAAATAAAATAAAATTTAATTGAATAATAATCTATTAAACTCAAAATGAAATAAAAACAATGATCGTAAAGAGTGTTTTAAGTAAAATGGATTGATAATTAAACTTTCTTCAACAAAATTACTAATCTATATACCTGATTAACTAATGATTTATATTAAAACTTCATATAAAATAATACCAAGAAAATAAAATAAAATTTCATAGTTGAAATTTTTGAAACTGTTTAAATTGCACTCCATATCATCAAATTAGCATCAACTAAAATAATCAAAAGATAATTATTTTTTGCTAGAAAAGCTTTATATCCAAATTTCACCTAATCAAATCACTTCATCATATCTATGCATGCACCTTTCCAAAGTAGCTTGAAATCTTCGATGAATCATATTCATAAGTGGCATCAAATCCTCACATTATTTATCTCGAGGCTCACTGAACATTTAAATATTTGTTATTCTATGCTCTAGAAGAGCATACGTGGCCCTCTTCACCTTTAAGTATTTATAAAATATTTCATTTAATCCCCTCAAAACTTTCCTTTTTGTATTTTATCATTGATCTATGCTTGATGCAATCATGTAAATCATTTTACTTTGATTTTGTCCCCTTTTGTTGGAGCAAAGGGGGCCCATTTAAATTTGGCTTCATCACTTTGGAATGCACTAGTTGCTTTTGAAGTGCTGAGCTATGGAAGGGGTTTTAGCTTTTATCTTTTTATTTATTTATTTTTTTTAATTTGATAAAAATATCAAATATTATTTGTGAAATATAAATAAATTGTAAATTTACATATATATCAAATAATTCTTATGTTTTTGCATGCCTAATACCTATTGGTTGATAGTTAATTCTATAATACTTTAACATCTCAATCATAAAAAAATATGAATTTGTATATATAGATGTATGAAATTTAGGAAGTTAGTATTAGTATTTTTTGTGTCATTTTAAAATGTAGGTGTTATGTAAATAATTATTAAAATTTGAGTGTTAAATATATAAATACATAAAACCTATTGGATATGTATCAATATCCCACATTGAACTTTTTTTATATTTATAATTTTGGAAAAAAGTTAATATTAGTATTTTTTGTGTCATTTTAAAATGTAGGGGTTATGTAAATAATTATTAAAATTTGAGCGTTAAATATATAAATACATAAAAGCTATTGGACATGTATCAATATCCCACATTGAACTTTTTTTATATTTATAATTTTGGAAAAAAGTAATTTTGTTCATCATATTTGTGTTTTTTTTTTAAATTTTAAAAATAAATCAACGAACATCTTGGGCAGCTACAGTTTATTAAAAAGTAAATGTAAAACTGCTCAAAATAATCTAATGTTCAAAAAGCTGCAATGACTATTACAATCCCCTTTTTTGTGTGTGAAAAAGTACTGCAGCTAGAAAGCTTGTCACGTACTTAATCAAGACTGGTGGGAAAACACAGATTTTTACAATTATTTTTTGAAGT